GGGGCAAAGTTTCTCCTTGAACAGCCATAGCTATTCAAATAGGAGCCATAAATCCAGGAAAAATCCCAGATCTGGTAGAATGCCACCTTTTCAAGAGCCATTATTGGAGCTACCATGGAGTTAGGTGATTTGGGCACAAACAGCTGCTCCATTTTGCTGGAATTTAATTAGAGCTCAATTTAAAATCCAGGGATCCACATATTTAGTCCCCACATAACATTCTCCAAGTAATCTTCAAAAGACTGTTTTGATCCCCAAAACAGAAATAGAGTCAGAAGCTCATGTTAATAATTATTTAGAGACTAGACTATAGAATACTGCATGTTATTTTTAGCATTTGTTAAACACTGATTTCATCTAACAGAAATGTGTATCATCATGGATAAATCTCATCTTTGCTTTCATTCAAGAGAGAGTGTTCTGCCAATAAAATCTATCCTTGATGTCTAGGAAGACCAGCATTGTATGGAAGTCCAAAAACTGTATCTATGTCCCTCATCTGTACACCCAGATATATGAGGTTAGACTGTTCCTGTTCCCAATACCATTGTCCTTTTTTGTCCATGCCTTTTTTTCCATTCTAAATGCAATATATCTGTTTGTAGACCTACTTCTGCAGCTTGTCCTGCCTCCCAGGCTTTTTACTCTGTTTGCCATTTGATCCTGGATAATATCAAACTCAGCCAGTTTGGTGCAATGGTTAAGGTATCAAGTTAGAAACTAGGTGACCATGAATTCTAGTCCCACCTTGTGCATGAAACCAGCTGGGTGACATTAGACCAGTCACTGGCAGTGGCAAACCACTATTGAAAATCTTTGCCAAGAAAACTGCAGGGACTCATCTCTGAGAATTGGACACAAGCGGGGGGGGGGGGAGGAATCACATTTAAGTCACAAGTAAACCTAAGGAGAAATTGCTCTATTGTTGGTGAACTGCACCTACAATTTGTACATCAGGACCATTGACAATTTTGCCCAAATTTATGAATGAAAAATACCTATGTGAGAGGTCCTTGATATTCTCTGAGCTTGATTGTTTTCTTGCAGACATTTCACTACTCATACTAGGTAATATCATCAGTACATCAGTTTGGGTTATAAAACATCTGCAAGAAAACAAAAGCTCAGAGAGTGCTAAGAATCCTTCATTTCATCCGAGCTACAAATATTCTCTTCCATCAATAAATTTATTTCTTAAATAGCAATGCCATAAGTGCCACATATGCCACAACCAATTAAAATGATTTCAGCTGGTTCCCAAACAAATAACAAGTGTCCAGTGATAAATGTCCAAGCCTCTGCCTTCTGTACCAGCTGAAGCTTCTGAACCATCATTACAAAGAGGCCTATCTCAAATTAATTTCAACCTGAACAGAACTCCAGTATGAGTAGCTAAGAACTATGTTACTCCTATAGAATCATAGCTAGTAGGCCAGTCCCAGGTACCAAAGGCAATAGCCTTTAGATAGGATTGAGGGTCCCAGGCCCTGGATTTTATAAATGGATTAGAGCAGGGGTGTCAAACTCTCAACATCATGTGACGTGTCGCGATGTATCGTGACTTTTTTTCCATTGCTGGTAATGGGGTGGGCGCGGTTTTGGCATGATGCGTCCGGCCTGCGGGCCAGCAATTTGACGCCCCTGGATTAGAGTGTCCCAAAGACTTTTACCCAGATTTATTGATTTCCTCATCCACATTATCTCTGTACCATTCAGGTGTCCAAAAACATTTCAAATCAGCATGAATTTATTTCATTGATACTCAACACACTCCATATTCCAATATAGCAATGATAGGAACAGGGAAGTTCTACAGTTTCTGTTGTGTCCTGGGCCTGATGAGGAAACTCAGCAGGCCCAGAATTGTTGCAAACAGGCCCGGGCATTCTAAAAGCTGCCTGGGACCAGACAGAGCGGCGCCAGCCCTGTGCACATGCGCAAGGCGCGAAGAAAGAAGAACTCTTATTGGTTCACTCTGTCCGGGGTTCAAGCCCTATAAAAGGCTTGCATGCCTTTTACATTTTGCTTGGAGTTGGAGTAGGAGAATAAAGCATTGATTATTGCAACCATTTCTCTTCATCATTTGCAAACGAACGGAGAACACAACAGTTTCGTTCCAGAATTCATATAGTCATGGCACATCATTTTCACTGGGATTATATTTAATGAAGGCAGTATGTGATATTTTAGGTTCTGCTGATCTGATTAAAAAGATTAAGATCTGATCTGATAAAAGGTAGTTGCTTCTCAATAATATGGTGTGTCATGTTAACTTTGTCATCCTTTTGATAGGTGAAATGAGAGAAATTAGTTGCAGTAAAGTTGTAACATGAAGTATTTCTCTTGCATATTTGGGAATGTACAATTAGCAGTCTGCCTTTGAAATGGGAATAGGTCTGCAGCTCTGCATGTAAAGTTACCAATTTGGTTCTTAGCAGGAGGGCTGGGAAAAACATTGTGAAATGGTGGACAACCGCTGACAGAATAAACTGTAAACACAATTCTGATCTGAACAGAGCAATAATTGAAGAGCTTCCTATATTCTTAGTTATTATTTACAAAGCCAAAAAGCATACATTAATAAAAATAAAATGAAAAATAAAATTGCATTTCTGGCTCTTAACCACCTAAATATTCTTAGTCTGCAATCAGAATTTAGTAGAACTTGTATTTAGAAGTTTAAAATTCTATATGCTTTTGCATAGTTGTTTCTAGGTTAGTGACTGATTTTGCCATGCTCTGTTCATTTCTACTGCTCTCCTTTGAAGAAATAAAAGGCAACACAAGATTTTTTTTTTATCTTGTGCTGCATATTCTGGGCACTTTACATCCAGCCCCAATTCTTTAAGCACAAAAAAGACATAAATATGTCACCAGGCCTCCCACAGCTTACAGTGGAATTAATCACACTGATTATACACTTCCAAAAAAGGAGATGCTCTGTCTACTTACAACTTCTTGGAGGCCTTCTGTGAACTGTCAAGGCTTAAATTGCCAATTTCTACCTCATCAGCTAAATGTCTCCAAATACTGAAGGAGATGGAGTGCTTTGAACAAGACACGTTTGCTGGAAATATTTCCACACAGGCTTGCCTTCAAAGGATATTATGAATCTCTGAGTGGGTTAACCAAAAAACTCTTTGTTTCAGTTCAAAAAACATGGACTGCATGTTGGCATTTGTGCATCATGAAAAAACATTATGCTGGTTACCAAGGAGCCTTTTTGGTATAGAGGTGCCATTGGCATACAGTTCTATGTGATTATTTTTTAAAAAAAACTTTAATTGGGGTGTAGGCATAGAAATGTTTTTGAAGGTTTTACTTTGTCATATATTGGTAATGTAAAGTAAACTTGTGGAATTCACTGTCACAAGAAGTGATAACAACAACAACAATAGAATTGGAAGGGACTTTTGAGGTCTTCTAATCCAACCCCCTGCTCAGGCAGAAAACTCTATACCATTTCAGACAAATGGTTGTTCAGTCTCTTCTTTAAAACTTCCGGTGTTGAAGTATTCACAACTTCTGGAGGCAAGTTGTTCCACTGATTAATTGTTCTGTCAGGAAATTTTTCCTTAGTTCTAGGTTGCTTGTCTCTTTCATTAGTTTCCATTCCATCCATTGCTTCTTGTCCTGCCTTCAGGTGCTTTGGTGAATAGCTTGACTCCTTCTTCTTTGTGGCAACCCCTCAAATATTGGAAGACTGCTATTATATTATCCCTCATCCTTCTCTTCATTAAACGAGACATACCCAAATAGAGCAACCGTTTCTTATATGTTTTAGCCTCCAGTCCCCTAATCATCTTTGTTGCTCTTCTCTGTACCCTTTCTAGAGTCTCAACATTTTTTTTAGGTTGTGGTGACCAAAACTAGATGCAGTATTCCAAGTGTGGCCTTACCAAGGCATTGTAAAGTGGTATTAACACTTCATGTGATCTTGATTCTATCCCTCTATTAATGCAGCCCAGCACTGTGTTGGCTTTTTTGGCAGCTGCAGCACACCGGTGGCTCATATTTAAGTGATTGTCCAATAGGACTCTGAGATCCCTCTCACAGTTGATACTGTTGAACAAGATACCACCTATAGTGTACCTGTGCATTTAGTTTTTCTTGCCTAAATATAGGCAAGATAGCCTTAACAAACAATTAGCTGTGGTGGCTAAATATTATCTCCAAGTTCTTCAGGTAACAGAGTGCAAGGGTCATTGCCTCAAATCCTACTTGTGAACTTCTCAGGTGAATCAATTTAGTCAGTATGGACCCAGGATGCTAGATTTTATTGGCTACTATCAGATCTATTAAGACTCTTCTTACATTATGTTTCGTAAATTGTATAATTCTTCAGATATATTTTGTAGTGAGAAGAACTATGGATTGCTCTTATTTGTTTACTTGTTTGTAAGTTTGTAAAATGTACTTGTTTACTTATTTGTTTACCTGAGCAGGGGGTTGGACTAGAAAACCTCCAAGGTCCTTTCCTACTCTCTTGTTTTTTTTATTCTTATTTTGTTTACTAAAGTTATTTCAAAAGCAGTCATTATAAGAATGGTAGGAGAGGGAGAAATAAGAGCTGGAATAGAAATTGGAATTTAAGAAATCATGTATATAAACAACATACTTTGTTAACTGAAAATAAAGATTTAAAAGAGTACATGGGGAAAGTAAAATTGGAAAGTGCATATTAAAAAGACAAAAATAACATCCTCCAATGTGTATAGAACATTGACAGAAAAGATGGTAGTTTATTTGTTTTTGATTCAAGAATATATTAAGATGGTAGCAAAGGTCTTTAGAGATAAAAAATACAAGTATTGGGATCAATTATTTTAGTTTTATAGTTAATAAATGAGATAATCTAGAAAAAGTAATTGGCCATCAATGCATTTCTTGAAGTATGGAATAGTCCTTGTTGATGTTAGAATGACCACTTCAGAAGGAATAGTAGGCACATTCTATTGCATCTTCCTATACTAAATATCATAATGGTATTCTGTTCATAGGACTGCCCACGCCAAAGCCAAGTCAGAAGGTGCAGAGCAAGCAGCAGTAGCAGCTAACAATGAATCCATGTTAGCCAGGTCGATGGCCAGGGAATTGTCTCCAGACTTCTATCAGCCAGGTAAGAAATAAAGAGTCCTTCATCCTAGTTTTTAATTTCTGACTTTAATCTACACATTGGTTGGTGAGTTGAGTAAAACCAACAAACAAGTTAAAATTTTTCCATATGTGATAATATGGAATGCAGTCGACCCCATAATCTTTAGTGAAACTGCTGAGAAACAGCATGGTTAATTGTCCTTATTTTTCTGGTCTTCCTATCCAGGGATTTTAGTTCTGCCTGAGTCCATTATTTTAGCAGTATATCTACTGACTGGAATTGCCCAGCTAGTAATTGTCTTGATGGTATTTCTTCCACTGAATTTGGACTTTAATATCTTTTTCACTCTCATGATGTATTCCCTTCTAACCTTCTTGACTTCAGTGTTCTTGATATTGTCGGCTTGGAGGATTTTTCCCTATTTTTTCCTTATTGATGGTAAGGGTGACACAATTGTCCAGTCCAAACTCCATTGTAATATCTTGCCTTTATTATTATCCATGTATTCACAAGTAATAAACACAATGTCCAAATGAGGTCTAAAATTAACCAGCTGCATCACTAAGTCAGAAGAAAGGTCACAGCTAGGGATTGCTTGGAGTTTTGAAGACACCAAGTATCTACTAGAACAGAGGTCCCCAACCTTTTGGGCACCAGGGACCAGTTATGCGGAGAGAGGTTTTTCCATGGACCAGAGGGGGTGTGGTTTTGTTTGCTGCCTGCACCCCGCAGATGGGGCTTTGCTTGTTTGTGCGGACTGGTTGCTGGCATGCTGCCCAGTACTGGTCCATGGACTGGGGGTTGGGGACCCCTGTACTAGAAAGAACAGAAATCAATTTAATAATGGTATGAGCCTCTATTGTGTGCTCATTTTGTGTATGTGCAAAACAATTTTATTCAGTCATTCAGACTTTCATTCAATCAAACCCTGGATAAATATTCACAGCCCTGGAGATTTCACTATCTACTCATAATATTGGGGTGGAAACAGCATATCAACATTTTGCTACTATTTTCTTAATTTGCATTATATATCATGAAGTTAGAAGTTAGCTCACTTCTAGTAGTTTTGTTTCCATGATTCTTTTCTACAAGTAAAATGAAATAGGTAAACATTTCCTAATATTTATACATCTTTGGTTGCTGTAGCCTACAGATTCATTGTCTTACATTTATACTTTTAAATATTCATGCCATTTATTTGTATTCATTTTTTCCCCTTAGAATGTATTGTACACATCCAGGACGATAGCATTCTTTCCAAAATTGATTGCCAAAGGTCTGTGAAGCTGCAATCTCATTTGCACTTATCTGGGAATAAAGTTACTGAACAAAGCCAAGTTTACTTTTGAATAATCGGCAGCAAGTTTGTACTGTTAATTTACTATTTTATCTGTGCTGTGCTTAAGGAGAATCAAGTAGTAGATAGTGATCTCTGAACACATCTCTCTGCCATCTCGGGGAGTTATTATTGTTCTGTATGAATATGACTAATGCCTTTTGTAAGACAGAAGAAGCATATATTTTATTAGAAAAATGCTACAACGCAGTTTTATCAGAAAAACAATACCCACAAAAATAACATAGCAACTTTTCTTTGCAGTGAAAGAAAACTGATACTGAATCCCGATATCATGTCTTTTTCTAATATTTTCAAACATTAAGGCCTAAGCTTAACTTTTTCTTTGAAACAATTTTAAATATACAGTATGAATTGCATTTACAAATTAATACACATTCCTTGTCCTAGCCAGTATGGGCACATACATAAGGAAACCTTTGGCATTTAACCAACAAATTAATGGTCTATGTTTTAATTCAGTGTTCCCCAACCTTTCCAGCTTTGTGGACAGGTGGAGGGGAGGGAAAGGAGATGGTTCCACACGAGCAGCCAGCAAGTGCGCACTTGCAGTCTTATTTGCACGAGCAGCATGCCCACGCACCCACCACTCACGCAAACGGAGCACACATGTACGCGCTCGCCCACTGTTTGTGCAAGTGGGGATGTGCATGTGTGTTTCCAGGCCTGGGTGCAAACAGCTCAGAGCCTCAAGGGAGCTGTGGCCCAGAGGATGGGGACCCCTGTTTTAATTGATTAATCAAAGGTGAAAGCTTTGATTTGTGTGCATTTTTGTCATTTATTCAGAGCTGGAAAATGTTGTAACCTTCATTGCAAAGACCACAGATGGTTAGTCTGCAGAGGGCTATTTTGAGAACTCTGAGCAACTGGTAAAATAGCTTCCAAACGGCCTGCTTGAATCCAGAAATAAATAACCCTGAATGGGTCTTTTTATGACTGACAGGTGTCTGTAGGCAAAGCAAGCTGGCTAAAATAAAGATCTAAGATGTCTTCTTCCTTCCCTCCTTTAGTACAAACACCAAGCAGTAGAAAAATCAAACTTTCCAGAATGCATAGGTTTGTTTCCTGATATGGTGCAAGTTTATTTAGGATTTAGTTCCTGTAGTATCAAATGGTGCACTCCCAGTAAAAATGCACAATAACTTGTGCTAAGCATATTGCATGGGTGTTCTAATGTTCTCTGTGTCTGCAAAGCCTTTTTCTTTGTTTTGGCTTTAATCATATGAATCTTTCATGTCTTGACACTGTTGGATATTGATTGCAGTGATTTTCAATTATGGCTGCATTCCAAGCAGAGTTTTGAAATGAAACTATATGATAAGAACAACCTGGCTAGGTCAGGATAAAGCCTCTTCTAGTTCTTCTAGTTCCCACAACTGAGTAACCAAATGATGAGGTAAGACTGCAAGGGGTATTTACTTGCCTTCTCTTCCTTGCCTGCATCCAGCAATATCTCTTCAGAAGTATTTTTCTTCAAAAGGTACAACAGAACAAGAACAAACCATCCAATGTCTTCCTTGTGTTTTGGAGTACGTCTCCCATAGGTTCTTATTAACAATGTTGAATGAGGCTGGTGGGAACTGATCCAAAGTTGCTTGCCCCAATATTGGAGTACCCATCATGATTACTAACTATTGATACCAAACTATGATTGCCAACAAAACTGCGTATAGTCCAGGCCATGGTTTTCCCAGTTGCAATGTATGGCTGTGAAAGTTGGACCATAAGAAAGGCTGAGTGCCAAAGAATTGAGGCTTTTGAACTATGGTGCTGGAGAAGACTCCTGCGAGTCCCTTGGACTGCAAGGCGTTCAAACCAGTCAGTCCTAGAAGAGATCAACCCCGACTGCTCTTTAGAAGGCCAGATCCTGAAGTTGAAACTCAAATACTTTGGCCACCTAATGAGAAGGAAGGACTCACTGGAGAAGGGCCTAATGCTGGGAAAGATTGAGGGCAATAGAAGAAGGGGACGACAGAGAATGAGATAGCTGGATGGAGTCACTGAAGCAGTAGGTGTGAACTTAAATGGACTCCAGAAGATGGTAGAGGACAGGAAGACCTGGAGGAACCTTGTCCATGGGGTTGCAATGGGTCGGACACGACTTCGCAATTAACAACAACAACAATAACATCTAGTCCCATCAGTTGCAGTAGCAAATTCTGTAATGTAATTACAGCTAGTCCTCAATTTGTTTAGTGACTATTTGAAGTTACAACACACTGAAAAAAGTCTTATGACCAGTCCTTGCACTTACAACTATCATAGCATCTCACATGATCAAAATCCAGATGCTTGGCAACTGAATGCATTTACAATGTTTGCAGAATCCTGGGGTCATGTGATCACAGCTTTCAACCTTCCTGACTGATGCCCATCGAAACAAAGTCAAAGGGGAAAACTGGATTCACTTAATAACTTCATGATTGACTTAACAACTGCAGCTTAAAAACTGTGCCAAAAAAAGTTGTGTAATTGGATGCAACTCATTTGACTGCCTTGTTTAGCAACAGAAACTGTGGTCTTAACTGCAGTCATAAGTCGAGGATTACCTATAAAGTTTCATTCCTGTCTCCCTCTCACTGCAGCACAAAGATATCTTGCTTTTCATTCTAAAACAGGGGTTTCAAACTGAATTTCACTGAGGGTCGCATCAGCATTGTGGTTGCCCTGGGGGGGCCGCGTGGGTGTGGCCAGAGTGGTGCAGCCTACTAGGTGGGCGTGGATGGAGTAGGCGTGGCCTACTGGGTGGGCATGGCCAGTTCTATATCATTCGCGTCAAGCGTGCCTATGGGGGCCTGGGCAGGAGTGGGACAGATCTGAGGGTCTCTGGCAGAAGCAGGTGGGACCGGGGCAAGTGCCAAGGCATTGTCCACTGGGGAAAATGCCAAGATGGCCACCATAACATTGTACATTGGCTCCCAGTTGGCTTGGGCCAGGGCTAAGGCAGCGGGGGCCATTCCTTCACTGTTTCCAGGATGGCTTCGCGGGCCACATGAAACCACTTTGCGGGCCACATCCAGCCCCCAGGCCTTGTGTTTGACATGTCTGTTCTAAAAGGACATGTCCTCATGATGATGCCTTTGTTCCATCCCCAGCCCACATCAGGGACAATTTATATCGGCCTTTAGCTGCTCCAGTTTAAACGTAATGTTTTCTGTCTTCCCTTAAAACAACATTTGCTATTTACTGTCAGGATTCATCTACAGTATGATGTTAATTATGAATGGGGTCTGTCCAACTTTTATCAGCCTCTTTAAGCTCCTGCCTCCTATCCACTGACTGAGCTCTGGCTTCCATGGCTATTTTGGCTTAGGTTGCAGGAAAGACTGGACCCCTGGCTTCTATAGAAGTATCTGCCCACATAATGCCCAACTATAGTTTCTTGAGTGCTTGCCAGATGTTAAATTGTCTCCTTTAAATCCAGATTTACCTCTCTTCTGCAAGCACTAGATCTATATTTTAAAAGAACAAAAAATGCCTAAGAAATTGTAATCAAGAAGCCAAAAAACTTCAAATGTGAACATGCATACAATATGTAGGTTCTGATGAAGCCAGTGCTGGTGTTATACCGTCTAATGATTTGGATACTCTGGAGCTTTATGTCTCTGGGCATGGGCTTTTAGCTGTGGTGCTAGCTACTCTATTTAGAAACTCACTAATA